CAGTCGAGTTAGCGCGTGTTGGGGCTCCCGTCTTGCTACCGAGAGAGAGAGAGAGAGAGAGAGAGAGAGAGAGAGAGAGAGAGAGGTGAGTGAGCCACCGAATGCGTGCGTGCACCCACTAATGCCTGGTGATTAACGCCCATCTTTAATTCTTTTCTTTCACAGACTCGTTCGTCAACTCCCAAGAATGGACACTGTCGCGGGGAGTACCAGACCTGCGCCTGGGGATCGTCGGCTCCCTCTCCTCCGGCAAGTCCGCCCTCGTCCACAGGTCAGTAGTCCTGTATTCGATAACGTATAATACGTTACGTTATAATACGTTATAACTTATTATACGTTATCAAATACATCGAATACGTTATCGAATACATCGAATACGTTACTTCCCCCCCTCAACTCCCCTCGCTTTACGTCGGTTTGTTGCTCACTTCACACGGGTCAGGGTCTCAGCTCACACGGGTCAGGGTCTCAGCTCACACGGGTCAGGGTCTCAGCTCACACGGGTCAGGGTCTCAGCTCACACGGGTCAGGGTCTCAGCTCACACGGGTTAGGGTCTCAACTGACACGGGTCAAAATCTCTGCTCACACGGGTCAAAAGACAGACAGGGACAAAAATTGCTAAAAAAAAAATGAATAAACCCACCCCAAATATATATATAATGAAATGAAAATGACGATATTTTGGCCATTCCTGGACCCTTATCACGACCTGATAAACGGTCCAGGACGGACCCAAACGTTACCACTTGTCATATGACATGTGTGGGTGTTGGGGTTCGTCATACGAGTGTCATGTCACAGGTCATGTTTAATCTTGAAAAAAGAGAGAGTTTTAATAATAGGTTTTATACTGGTCTGTTTGTAGGTTGCTCCTACTGAAAAAAAATCCAGCAGGGGCAGTTTTACTTGAAGATTTGTAAGATTTGATTAAGTCCTACTAGTCAGTCTTCCAGGTCAATGTTACCATAGGGAGCATGGACACAAGGGTGTCTTACTCTCAGGTGTTTCCAGGTATGGTACACGTGTTTTCAGGTACGGTACACGTGTTTCCAGGTACCTGGTGTGGGGTACACGTGCTTCCAGGTACCTAACAGCGTGGTTGGTATGTGTTTCAGGTACCTGACGGGGTCGTACATGCAGGAGGAGAGTCCAGAGGGCGGACGCTTCAAGAAGGAGATAGTCCTGGACGGCCAGAGTTACCTGCTGCTTATACGCGACGAAGGAGGACCCCCTGAGTTACAGGTAAGACAACATACTCTAGTATTCCTTCTCCCCGACACATCCCAAATCCTTATCCTGACCCCTTCCCAGTGCTAAATAGTCGTAATGGCTTGGCGCTTTCCCTTGATAACTCCCTCCCTCCCCCTCCCCCTTACATATGTATGTATGTATGTATTTACTTATTTGCGAGAGGGGATAACTTTACTGGTGTTGGGATTAACATGTTGTATCCACCCTGGCCGCAGATGGCGCTGCCTCCCACAGGAATCTGTACACCAGTTGAAAGGCGGGACCAAAGAGCCGAAGCTCAACCCCCGCAAACACAACTAAATGAGTACAACTAGGCGAGTACAAGAAAATATTCTGCTCCCATAAATACAGGGAACCAGACCGCCCGTACAAGTGTATCACGTCGCATTTAAGATCCTTGAGCACCCAAGAGTTTTCTCAAGGACTTGGGTTCTAAGCTCGTCAAAACAACGAGGGACCCCAAGGCCGACCGGCTTCCTTTTCCAGCGCAGCAGTATGGCGATCCAGATGGGAGACGCCCTCGTTATCTCCATCTCCAGCCCGGGATCCCATGCTCCAGGAGAGCTGCAGCCTGGCAACATTGGAACGTGTTCCTGTGTTGTGACTTCCACCATTTTTTGTTTGGTTTAATAAAGCGTCAAATAAAATATTTAGACAATGGGAAGGTAAGAGAAGACGAGTATCTAAATAGGGACCCGCAAGGCTGCCTCGCCTCACCTTTATTGCCTGTACTCGGGTAAAGGTGTATATTATATAATATATAAATATTATTGATAGGTGGGGGAGATTAAATGGCCGTCTTGCAACACCACTCGTCAAACTGACTGAGCCTTTCTTCACTCTTCACAGTGTATAATTAACTCGCCATTATTGTCAGGGAGTTAATACATCTTGCACACTTATATTACTAATTTTACCCGTCAAGCAACTAGGTATCACAAGTGTAATGTGTGTGTTAGGGAGGGAGGAGTGAGAGAGGAGTGTGTGAGAGGTGAGAGCTCCACCATTCTCCAACACCACAGCTTTAAACTCTACTGGATGCCATGGCTGCAGAGAGAGAGAGAGAGAGAGAGAGAGAGAGAGAGAGAGAGAGAGAGAGAGAGCAGGGGGATGCAAAGCCTTATATGAAGCACATGTTCGGTCGCATCTCGAGTATACACCACTCTCCTGGATTGCCTGCCCTCCACCATTCATCATAATTTTGGACAAAGTGGAGAGCCGTGCAAGAAGGCTCATCTCCAGTCTCGACCAAGTCTGGATGGTCTGGTCTTAAGATCAGAGCCTGCAACATCATCGAGATGTTGGTGGACTTACTGTTATGTACATTGCCAATATTCTCAAAGTTCTGCACCTGACCCTACACCGTGGACGACCAATAGTTGGCATCCATAACACAAGGCTCTCAGCCATCAACAACCTTATTCTGGTAATTCCTTTCCCGAGAACATTACTCGATCAGCGATCATTAATTCCTAGGCTGACTTGACTCTGGAACTTGTTCGCTCAACAAGTTGATACACGGGAGATCAGGTCAACCGATCACATGAAGACTCTGGCACACAGTTGGCTCCTTGTTCATACTGTTCCTTATATGATAGTTCATTTCTAATGAATACAAATAATAATCTCATGAAATAAATGTCTCTAGAGACAGGCTCAGATGAGCTGATGTAGGATAAAAGATTTCACCTGCATTTTCACTAGAAAACCTCAATGACATACCATAGGGAGCCGGTCGGCCGAGCTGACAGCACGCTGGACTTGTGATCCTGTGGTCCTGGGTTCGGTCCCAGGCGCCGGGGAGAAACAATGGGCAGAGTTTCTTTCACCCTATGCCCCTGTTACCTAGTAGTAAAATAGGTACCTGGGTGTTAGTCAGCTGTCACGGGCTGCTTCCTGGGGGTGGAGGCCTGGTCGAGGACCGGGCCGCGGGGACACTAAAGCCCCGAAATCATCTCAAGATAACCTCAAGATAACCTAATGGATCCTCGTCTTAGTTAAAACAGAGAGAGAGAGAGAGTGTGATGGAAATAAGAGCAGGAGTTAATGGACGTGGCCCCGGATGTAAGGAGATGGTGAGGTATTGTCAAATAGCCTTGGCTACCATCATCTTTTGTACGGTCACTGATGGTCGAGTGGTTTAATATATGTGAGCGTCGCGCATGTTTAAGCTCGGAGTAGTGTTGACCCCTCGGGTACTCCCAGGTCACCCAGGTGTGACCTGGACCTGGGAGCCCCCAGGTATCTGAAAGTCGCCATGTGGGCACAGTCTCCGTGGGGGAGGGAGGAGGAGGAGGAGGAGGCATGAAATGTCTATCAGATAAAAGAAAGAAAAGATTTATTCTGTGGGAACTTTGCTGCTAAATGCCAGTAGGTTTGAGGCCGTGACGCGAGGTCTTTTGTGGAAGCATCACAGCAAATATGGTCTATCTGGCCGCTGAATGGCGGGTAGATGGTAGAGGGAGATGGAAGGTAGGATGGTGGATAGACACGCGGACCTCCGACCACGCTATTTACTCTCCAGCTGGTCACAACATTATATTTAGGGGTGGATTGGTTTATATATTGGTGGGTGGTGGTGGAGGGTATGTTGGGAGTGGCTGCTCTCTCTCTCTTTCTCTCTCTCTCTCTCTCTCTCTCTCTCTCTCTCTCTCTCTCTCTCTCTCCTCTCTCTCTCATCTCTTTCTCTCTCTCTCTCTCTCTCTCTCTCTCTCTCGTGTTTTTTATTTTGTTGAAGCTGTGGGTCTTGCCGACTGGTACACACGTGCTTACACACTTCCAGGAGCTCAAGCTCAACCCCTTCGCCTTCACCGTTAGCCGAATACAATCAGGCGAGTCTCTACCTCCCCTCTGAACTAAATACAATGACCTGCATAGGCCAGTCACCGTGCACTATTGCCAATGGATTATCAACTTTATGAGGACTCCGCTCACGAGAGTAAGGTAATGGCATTTGCATCAGGCGAGTGCCATACCTCTATTAGCCCTTGCTCTATTTACCAGTCCAGTAGCGAAGATTGGTGATTGGTCAAATGATAACTAGACCAGCCTGGCCTTGGGGAGCAGAGAAGATTAAACAAGACTTCTGGTTGGCTACAGGTAAACAGGCCGTCAGACTTACAACGATGATGTCTCTAGCTTAACGGCTTGGACATGTCGCACCACTGACGAAGTGCTTGGACATGTCGCACCTTTGTCTTACTGAGGATTCGGCCCCATGTCTGACTGTGCCCTCATGGCTGTGGAAGCCTATACCTGGCTGGGAAGTTGTCACCGGGGAGTCTGGTCGTGCCACAGCACATATGGTTGACCTATTTCACATCACCTTTCATCCTTATATGTCTTCGACCAGTTTCTCCCTAATTGTCTTCTTCTGAACCATTTCTTCCTATTTTCCCTGATTCAGAGATTCCCAGGGAGGAGCCCCCCCCACACCCCCGTGGGGCTGAAAGGTAAATCACCCGTGAAATTATGGGTTCATGCTCTGTATAGGAGACTCTCTTCCACATTATCCCCTCCCCCATTTTCCCCCCTCATCTCTCCCTCTCCCCTCCGCTTGTCTCTCACCCCCGCCTCTTCCCCATCTCTTCCACGCCTCCTCCGTTCCTCCACCTCACAAGACAGAACCAGATGGTGCAATCACTTATCCTGGATAAGTGAACCCCCTGGCGCGGGTTCGATTCCCGCGCCAGGCAGAAGCAAATGGGCAAAGTTTCTTCCACCCTGAATGCCCCTGTTACGTAGCAGTAAATAGGTACCTGGGAGTTAGTCAGCTGTCACTGGCTGCTTCCTGGGGTGTGTGTGTGTGTGGTGTGGAAAAAAGAAAAAAAAGTAGTTAGTAAACAGTTGATTGACAGTTGAGAGGCGGGCCGAAAGAGCAAAGCTCAACCCCCGCAAACACAACTAGGCGAATATAGGATTCAGGATAAGTGTGAGAGAGAGAGAGGCTGAGGTAGGATAGCAGCTCTTGCTTGCAGTTTCACTAGGTGCGTCATTTGACAGCCCTTACGAACCCCAAAGTTAAAAAAAAAAAGACAAGACGAAAGGATCGTCTTACGCACGTGCGTAAGACGATGTCTGCGGTGGAGGAGAACGTGCCGGAGACACGTGCTGGTGGGGGGAGTGTGTCTCACGCTGAAGGAAGCTGCGGTGAAGGATGCTGCCCGCCTCCCGCCTCACTTCCGCCTTCATCTCGTCTACCCCGACGGACGGACCGTCGTTACGAGGGCGGTGGCAGTGCCGGCCACCCGTGTGCTGCCTGGTTGCATCTTAGGTGCCTGTTTGTTATAGGTGTTATAACTAGATGTTACATGTGCCTGTGTACATCTGTGTACATCTCTGAGTCTCTACGGTACACTGACGCACGACTCTGTGTACAAGTACATTATATTCTCTAAACAAATGCACCGCGTTCCTGTGCATTTGTCAGTGTGTTCGTGTCTGTCACGATATTTGGTCTTGTTTAATCTGAGCTGATTCTCGTATTTTCCTTCAGGGTGTTTTTGTGTGTATTCCTCTAATTGTGCTCGCGGGGGGGGGGGGGGGTTGTGCTTTGACTCTCTGGTCTCGCCTTTCAACCGTCAGTCAACAGGTGTACAAGTTCCTTAGCCTATTGGGCTCTATCATATCTACATTTGAAACTGTATGTAGTCTGCCTCCACCAAATCACTGCCTAATGCATTCCATTTGCTAACTACCCTGAACACAGAGTGTGCGCGCGCGCGCGCGTGTGTGTGTGTGTACTCACTTAGTTGTGATTGCGGGGGTTGAGCTTTGGCTCTATGGTTCCGCCTCTCAACTGTCAATCAACTGGTGTACAGATTCCTGAGCCTACTGGGCTCTATCATATCTACACTTGAAACTGTGTATGGAGTCAGCCTCCACCACATCACTTGTGTGATGTGGTGGAGGCTGACACACACACGTGTGTGTGTGTGTGTGTGTGGCAGAGTGGTGGAGTAGCAGAGCCTCTCAACACACACCGTCCATAT